GAAAAAAAAAAAAAACAAAAAAACCCATGGCCTCAAAGCGGAAAGAAGGGGGGGGGGGGGAGTCACATAGAAGTACAACCTGATTAGACTAGAACTCATCTGGAAAATGGAGGGGGGGAAACCAAAGAATAAAAATAAACTTAACAATGACTTGGCTTTGAAACCTCTTCCCTGAGCCTATGGGGGGAGCAGGTGGCAGAGCAGACTCATGAAGAAGCAAATACATGTGCACCTTCCAGGAGCCAGCAGCCCTCACCCTCTCTGTATGCCTGCACCCAGCCACCCACTCCCTGTGTGTTTACCTTATCCAGGTTAACAGCTTGTGTTCGAATTTAAATCTTCCCTCTCCCTTGGTCTTTCAAGCCCTCACCCACACTCCCTTTCTTAGCTGGAGGGATAGGGCATCCAGTGGGGAGAATGGGACTTTCAGTGGGGAAGAGGGTCAGCCTTGAGGGAAACTCAAATCTGGTGAGGGGTGTCCCAAACAGGATACAGCTGCCCCAGAGTGAGACTGCACCACAGGAGGAGGGCAGGTGGGACTTCTCACGAGGCTTTTGGGTGGAGAGAGATGCAGGGATGTTAATACTCCTAAGTCAGGTCTGGGGCCCATAGATGGGAGCTGGCATGAAATAGCCCACAATTTGTGGGATGAAACAGTCACTTGCTTATGCTGGCCCTATCTTGCTTCAGGGCTCTGTGGCTTAGAGGCTCCACAGCATGTGCTGTCCCCTTGTGTCTGCAGTGAGATGCCCAGATGTTGCAAGGCACTACTGTCAAGGGAACACTTGGCTATAACCTACTAAAATGCAGATTGGGCTAGGGAGGGTGAAGGGCTGACCCCAAGCCAGACAAGGTGGTTCCATGAGAGGTCCTCCAAAGGGGGTGCCCCCCAGACTGAGGAGACAGCTAAAGGGCTAAAAGGGAAGCAGCCTGCATCCTGCAGATCAAATGCATGGAAATGTGAAGACCTCCACCCTCCAAAATGGTGTCTTGAGTTCAAACTCTGCCCTAGACTGGATTCCCTTCTCTGGCCTGGACCAGGAGGAGTTCACTCCAGTTCCAGGTCTATTTTGTTCCACCAGAATCTTGGAACCCAAGGTGTTTAAGCAGGAGAAGAGGAGCAGGGGAAAGACACCAGGGTGGGGTGGGCCCACAGGGAGCAGCTCAGCCATGGTGCCACTGAAGAAAGGCTAGAGGCATTGGGGGTGAGTGACGTGGGATGTGAGGGCTGTGACCCTCAGCACTACATTCTACGGGTTTTCCATGAGGAGGGACACATGGCCTACAGGGGACATGGATGGGAGGGACCACAAAAGGTGCAGAAATTGGGGACAGGGGTTAGGGACACAACACAGCAAAAACCTCCTTACTCTGCTGTCTCTTAGACCTGGGAGAGGGTCAGCCCATCCTGGGGACCTGGTCGGATCCTCATCCATGCAAGAAAGAATTGGGATATCCCCAGAAACTTCTGGCACCAGGTTTCCTCCACTTGGCTGCTTAAGCGGCCTCATGCTGACACCTGGTGGTCATTTCTAGAATTACAGCAGCACAACCCACAGGTCGTGGGCTCTGCAACGTGGGGCAACCCAGCAGGGAGAAGGTGCTGGAGGGCACAACCAGGCCCCTTCGCCCTCCGGGGGAGAGAACCCTTGGCAGTGTTGGGGTGTAGTGGACTTTGCACTCTTACTCTTGGGTCTGAGGCTCTTATTTGCCTTTGTCCTGGCATTACAGAGTGGTGGTGGGGGGCCTCTTAGAGAATTCCTCCCTTTGGCTGTGTCCCTACCCCAGCGGTTCTTGCCACGGCAGGTACGTAGAGTCACAGGTTAAATCAACAAAGCCTTCATGAAGCACGCGTTTGTGCTGAGAGAGGGAACTGTATTACGAGGGTACTTGAGGAAGTTCATAGAAAAATTCATATTAACTTTTCATTCTATTTTTCCACGAACTTTTAGAAGTACCATTGTATATTTGCATGAAAATAAAAGTGGATCTATTACTAAGAGGTCCTGGGGCAGAACGCTGGGGCCCCCCATTTGGAGGCAGGGTCCCTGAGACGGGAACACAGGTAAGTGGAAGCTTGTTCTCAGTTTCTGTTCTCAGCTCGCCCGGCTCCACCTGCAGAATAGGAATTTCCAAATCTGGCCCGAGCCTGACACCTTGTGGCCGCTTGAAAAAGTTGCAGCCACAGCAACAGAAAGTACCCTTTGCTTTCCTGTACGCAAATCAATAATTTCCTGTAAATCAATAAGTACAGGGTCCTTTACCAAAGCTTAGGATTGAGAGAAGAGGAGGAAATAACCCACACCCCCCATCTTAAATGCACTAGTTTGTCCCTAGAGCCCAGCACCATCAGATACCAGATGGCCGGGCTGCCTCTGCCGGGACAGCCTGGCAGGCGAGGCCACCCCCTCCAACGCTCTAAGGCCACAGCACGAGGGCCTGGGAAGCCTGTCCTGGTGGGGCCGAGGGGCCTATTTTGTGCAGCTCACACAGCGGTGCTTTCGGACAGGGTAGAGGAATGGGCAGGGAGGGTCTGGAGGCTGCCAGCCCACGTCCGGCTCTGCCTACCTTCCTGGGCAAGCCAGTCCCCCCGAGCCTCTGTTTCCCCTCTGACCTCCCGGATTCGACATGTGGGTGCAGGAAGCTGTGGAAGAGCACCTGGCACAGGGTAAATGCTAATAAAGGTTCCATTTCACACTCTCCTAGATGTAAAGGTATATCTGTCCCTGGCTCCCCCAGCCGTTGACACTGGAACATCCTTTTCTGGGACCACATATAAGAGCAACCTGGAGGGTCAGTGGCTGCACCGCAGGCCCGGGCCAGCCTGGGAAGCCTGTCTGTAAAGCCTGCTCCGCCGCTCAGGTGAAGCTTGCCACCTGAGAGGACTCTGGAGTTACCGGAGGGGGACACCGGCCTGGGCAGGGGGTGGCCCGTGGGAAGGCTCTAGGGCTGCAGACTTCATGAGGGGCTGAGGATGGGGTCTTCGGCCCTGGCGCCCTTGGAGGGTGGGCTGGGCGTTCCAACAGCTGCGGAGCTCCTCCCCACAAGGGCTCGCAGGCCCATGGGAGCTGAGCTCAGATCACGGCGTGGCGCCGCAGGCCACTGCCAGAGCCTCGCCAGCCTTGTTTTCTTTGTTGGGCCCCTGAGATGTGTGGAGGCCTGTGTTCCCCTTCCCCGGGCTCCTGCCCTGGAGAACTGGTCCCCCCTAGCAAGGTCCGTCCCCCCCCCACACGAGCTGGGTCCCAAGGAGTAGCATCCGCTTCCTCTGGCCGGTCCACGGTGCTGTCCCCAGGAGACTGAGGCCCAGAGAGAGAAAGCAACTTGCAGAGACGTCGAAGCAAGAGGACAGAGTCTGGACGGGGCCTGCGGTCCATGCTCCACCCTCACACCTCACCCCACCCCAGACAGGCTGGCACCTGAGACTCGGATCGCGTGGCCCTGTGGCAGAGGACCCTGCGTTCTGGCGTTCCTGCTGCCTTAGGTAGGCTGTGGGCTTGAGACGTGGGCAGGCTAGGCAGGACGGGAGCCAGCACGGGCGGGCAGGTGGAGGGTGCCTAGGGCACAAGCACGGAGCTGGAGAAGCAGGCTCCCGGGAGCGCCGACCAACCCCCGCTGCGCGGCCGTGCCCCTCACGGCCCCTGCTCTGGTTGTGTGGGGAGGAGGCGAGACTGGACATGTGGGACGCTTGTCCTGCTGAGGAGGGAGCTGCGGGCCGGGGC